CGAAACACACAACTCCATAATGACACTGGTATACCTTACATAAACACATGGATAATTGAACAATTTAAAAAATTTCACACGAAACTAAAAACAATAGAAGGCGCCCTTCACTTGCAAATTGGGAAAATAACTAAAAWCCACAGACTAAAGCCACGGCTACCTCAAAACATCTTGCTACCTCCAGAATCATCCTCATCATCGGTATCATCAGATCAATGACCTAACTAAACAACTGAAATTTAAATTCATTTTACTAAAAAATAAAATAATGTACAAATTGTATTACTCTATATATGAAATGTATAAATATTATAAATGTATATAAAAAAAAAAATTGTAAAAACAAACATTTCGTTGAAACAATTATAATTAATAAATGAAAAAAAATATCTTTTAATTACAATACTAATAATAACAATATCATAAACGTAATGATAAAAATTTAAATATTTAAAGTATTAAGTAATTAAATATTCTATTTCAATATTTAGACAGTAGACACAGTAAAATAAATACCTCAAAACAAAAATAAAATAATATATTTTACTTAAAAATTTGGTTTTTACCGAATAGGATTCCAAATAATAGATATAGTCCTAAGAAAATATAATAGCAGTTATTTTTATATACTTTGTAATCACAAATTATACAAAATAAATGTATAACATTATTTTTAATTAGAAATATGTCAGAAAACTCGAAATCACGCAATATAAGAATGTTATTTTGCTGTCTATAGTAATAAATCTTAGGTGTATATTAATTCGAGTTCCATGTCAAAGCTACTTAGTCAAGAGTCTTCTTAAAAACCATTTTACTGCCTATTTTTTTTAACTCTTATTTACTTAATAAACGAATGTTTACATTCAACTCAACTTCAAATTTAATTTCAGCGTAGGTATCTAATTTGATGTTTCATCTGTTTTGTGATATTATGAATAAAAAAATGATACATTTATACATACTATTAGCTAGTATGATTAGGAGGTATAATATGTATACTATTAGACTACACGTTCACACAATCTATTTAACTACCTATTTGTTAATATGTTTGTATTGATGGAGGTGTACTCGTATGGTGTATACACACATGTCAATACTCCAGTATTTAACTAGTATAATATCTTATATTATAGAATGTAGTACTGATTTGAGTAAGCATAATACAATATGATAAAAACGCAATTTAATTTTTAATTTTAAATTATTTGTTTATTCGTCAAAAAGAATTATTATTTTATGAAACATTAAATTCTTGATTACACAGTATACGATGTATTATTTTGATTATTTATTCGAATGTTTACTTTGATTAAATTACATAAACATCTAAATACTTCAGAAATGTATGTAACAACGCTTATATCACAGAACAGTCTGGTTGACTTTAGTAAGCATACGTATGTGATATAACTATGTAAGTACGCAATTTAGTTTCAAATTAAAATTGTTAGATTTTTCGTTAAAACGAAATGTTTTTCGAAAYCTAAAAAAGTTTAAGCTATACTTTAATACCTATTTTAATATCATGTGTATCATGTAAGTTGAAGTCGACGATGACCGGTCATCAGTCATCGAAATCATTTCAAGCCAAGGAGGTTCCGCGACGTCTTCGTTGATCATATTTTTAGTAGGTATTTTATCGATAACATCAAAAGTAAATAAATGACATAATACATGATATTGCAGTAAAGTTTATGTGCGGTCGTAAATCGTCAGTCGTCATCGGAGCCACGGCACACATGTACCTAATATACCTATATATAACCACGCATGTTGTAGTTATAAATATATAACCTATATATGTTATATATCTATTGGCTATTCCATGTAAGTACGTGATTATTATTAATAATTATGATACCTACTGACGCGATTTGTAACATGGTGAGCCGTCGGAATTTGCATTTCATTTTTCGATAAAAAATCAACCGTACCGATATTTTTTATTATATATTATGATGTTGTTACGCAAGTTACAATATTATATTATTATATTTTATTGTGATATGTTTACCGTGCGCAGTATTAACGTTAACATGACACGTTCCTAAACCTACACAATAATATCACATTCAAAGGTGGGATGGTGTTAACTAGCTAAAAGAACTAATTAGTTAACATAGGTAACTATAATTTAAGTGGTTATTGTTGTGTAATTGCTTAGTTTTTCCAAATTGATTTGAAATATAATATAATTACAGCTTTACACAATGCTAATAGTCATTGCTTTAACCACTATATTTTTATAGTATAATTCCGCTGTATATAATATAATATACCGTCCTAAAACATTATTTTTTCTTAAATGGTTTGTCGCTATTCAAAAAATGCTGAAGTTGCATAATCATAAATGAACCAGGTAGAGATTTAAATTTCAATAAATTATTCAAAAGCAAATCATTGTTAACTGAGTTAAGTATGCGTTCTAAAAAAAAATATTTGTTGTTATACATAATAATAATTTTTACTGTAGTTTATAAGTTGTTAATCTAAGTTATAACTTAACGTTGTTGTAAGAATTAAATCAACTCAACGTTTTGCATAACACACCCACGAATAATATTCGTAAATAGTTGATAGTTAATGTATAAGCGATGTATCTATGTAATAATATACATTTCCAACTGTACGAATATACGCCTTCCGTTCACGCATATATTATAAATGATAATATTATATCACACACTATAAATCAGGCGAACAACTTCAAAAATTTGCAAAATCTATCTTTCGATTCCGGTAACGTCTCTGTGCAAACTATGATTAATAATTATTATTCAAAATCGTTATGGTAGGAATACATGAGTCAGTTGTCAAGTATTTGACAGTATTTTGCTCAGTTAAAAGTAAGTTAAAATTCACAGAATAGAGAAAAAATACCAAGAGGATAATATTGTACAGTACAATCTACTCGTAATACAATGTGGATTTATCTGTTGACTGCATCCACTCGATAATTAATAAAAAATATTCAAAAACAAAAACAAAATAAAGGAATCTCACCTCGACAACAATTCGGTTCTGACGAGTAAGTAGGTAACTAAGATTATTTGAACACTTATACAGGAAAAATTTGAAAATTAAGCGTGTTTTCTACAAGTATGTCAGTAGGTATGTATTATAAAACAGTGGCCCGACCACTGACGTCGGTGGGGCTATCTCCATCGCATTATTGTTATTATACTCAGCTGTATCGGATAATAATAATAATAATAATACCTGTTGTACTGCAAAACGGAATAAATTGTTATTTCATTATTATTCTTATCTGCTGTCATGGCGTCCAGCGCAATAATATTATACAAATACACACAGGTAATACGCGACAGCAGACGCGGACAATATTGTCATTGTATATTTTTTTTTTTTTATCCGCCCCACTGAAAAATATATTATTATTAAATATGTAGGTATTATAGGTACACGTGCGCGCGCGTTCCGCTGTAGCGGGCGTTTGTCGATCGACTCATCGAAGACGACCGATCACCGCATATTATTATTATTTGCGTTTATAAATAATGATATAATGACAACATTTATTATCATTATATTGAGCGCGGCAGTGTGGTACCTATACATAACAATATATATTATGGAATCAAAAGAGCCAATATTGTACCTACATTATATCATAGACGTATAGGTACCTAATAATATCTGCAGCGGTCCCTCTCTCCCGGCCATTTCACGAAGGTCAAAATGCATTGGCATGCATTGCCACCGCGACGTGTGACCGCAGTTCGAAATTTCGTCGTCAACACCGGATTCAGTCGGTCGGCTAAAGGTTCAATGAAAACTCCTCCGACATACGCAGTTCGCTCCGTTCAACACATTATCGCCATCACAGCTGTGTCGTCGCCGCCGCGTCTAAATTTCACGTCGACAGCACACCATCGACCACGACTTGCCTACTATTACAGCTCGGGAAACGCTCTATCCGACTACGACTGTCCGCTGCACGTGTCGTCGCTGTGTGCGTCCATCCTTCAGTTTGTCCGTCTGCGATAACCCTATCGCTTATCGATATCCATAGGAGTTATTGTCGTTACAATATTTCGAATATTTCGAATATTTTAATAAACATTGCACGCATGATATGATGACATCACGACAGTTGTGATATAATCGTTCGACGAGATTTTCGTTATCGTTTCCTTCGTCGTTTCTTCATCGATCGAATTTTTTTCCCCGCAATTTTCTCGCAGCTTTGATCCGTCGATCTGTCGTTGTACACTTTTGACACGAATTATTATCGCCCGTAACAAGCGACATCATTACTGGATACCGACGGCCGGTTCCGCGGTGTAAACATTTTTTAAAAATAATATAAAGACGAAGCTTGCTCGCGTAATAGGCAGCCGGTCCATCCGTCATCACCGCCGGCGATCGTGTGTCCGCATAACATACCAATCGCCGACCGGAAGTCCTAGCGACCGTGTTGTCCAACCGGGTGAAAACTCGTACGACACATTGCAGTCGGGTATACTAACCTGCTGTACGCACTGCACGACAAAAAAAAATCGTCAGCTTCGATCGCTGTCCGTCTGAAAATCGGATTCGCACTGTCTGACGTTAGCGTGCGCAAATGAAATGCAACAAATTATATTTGGTAAGTAATCGATGATAGGTGTATACAATTATATAATAATGTTATGTAAATGGTACATTTATCAACCTACCGTGTACCTACCTCTATTATTAGGACGTATTATACCTATATGATTATTATTACGAGAATACTATACTCGAGACTATTATTATCATCATTTATGCGGTCAGCAGTTGTAACTACCGAGTGGGTTAGGCACACAAGACAAGTGTTCTACCTAGATTAGGTTATTATATTATATTATTAATACAAATTCCTGGATGCCATTAAAACGCATTACAATCCTAGTGCGACACGATTTGGTGGAAAAAAAAATATATAAAAAATTATTTTCTATTCACAACGTTATGTTCTATCTTCTATGATATTCTACCTACTTATCATCTGTATTTAACGTTTATATAATATTATAATATACACATTGTCTTGATCGTGCGGAATTCTCCGTAGAGTACGGACTCTTTGTGTCCGCCTACAATAGTGTGAAATTTTATATTTGCTAGGTACGGAAATTTAATTCCATGAAATTTGACCAACAGCTGTTTCAGTAGGTATTTGAAAAAAAAATATAAAAATTTCAAATACAAATGAGTTTGTATTCAAAAGTGTATTTGAGAATGTGTGTCAATCGATGAGCAATTGATGTGTAAATTCGTTTCGTAAGTTTTCGTTGCTCAATTTCTGTTCAAAAATCGTCCTCCTTTTTTATATCATTATATTATACTTATTATGTTGTAACATTTCTCATTTGATTTACTTGTTTTCATATTCCATATTATGTGAACTATAAAACGTACAAACGTACAACAAATTTGATAATAACGTATATTATGTTTGAAATAAAATTACTTTGCAACTGTGGTAAAAATATTTATGATATTCTAAAATGAAATACATTTAAATTTTGTTAATTTAATGTTTAATTATTTTTCTAATCATCTTTGTTGAAGTACAGACTTATCGCACATTTACTTGTTAATTATTTAGACATTAAAATTGACTCGAAAAGTATATTTTATTTTAATTACACAGTTAGTTCAGCCATTAGAATAATATAAAACGAGTCAAAGAGATAACAAATAAATAACTAACAATAATATTTGGTTTTAAAAGTAGTGGTTATCAATAATAATAATAAATAATACCAATGAATAAATGATAACTTTTATAGGTACTATTTATTTAAGGATAACACTTTCTATTTTTAATTATTTATGAGTGGATCGATYAATGTATAGGTTTTGTAATTAAATAATTGTATTTTGTGTGTGTTACTTCTTTTTTAGGAGCAAATATTTTTTTGTGCATGATTTCTGGTAATAAATTGTATATAAATGATACATTGGGTGGTTTCAATACAAAATTCATAATACTCTTTTAAAAAATCTACTAAAATGAATATCAGTTTCAGAGCATTAGTTTTGGTAATTAAAAAACAAAAATAACCATAAATGTATAAAAATGTTAAAAATATTTATACATTCTTTATATGATAACATTTTCAAAATAGTTTGGCTCGTTTTGTGCTATTTATAGATAACTACACACCTATTTATGATTTTTGACTTTATTTAGTTTGTTTTCGATTTATGTATAGTAAAATATTGGTTTCTATGTCAAAAGTTTCAAAAATGTATTACATTGATCCTCATAAGTTTTTCTTACAGTAATTATAATGTGAATTCTCAATTATGTTTGTACAAGAATTTTGAGAAGATTGAAATTTAATTATAAACAATAAATAACGAATATGTAATTGTATTGTAATTAAAAAAATATTAATCGTAAGAACTCAAAACTTTTCTAAAAACCATTTTATTTGAACGTATTTTCAAGATACATAATTTGTAGACTTATACATTTTTATCTATTTACTCTATAGCACGGTATATGTGGCAAAATTGATTTATAAGTTATTTATTTTTTTTAAATTCATAAAAATATTATTTGATATTCTAATATGATAATTTATCATATGTTTATTTTAAAAATCTGTTTAAATTCAATAATGATTTATGAAAACATACAAATTTTAGAAATATAAATATATTATAAAAATATATCCTTAGGAATATTAATAGGCATATTGTCTCCGTTCGACGGGTTTACCATTGAATTCAAAATATTAACAGTGATATACTCAATGTCAAGGTCCACTCAAAACCTATTAGATAAAAAAACGGATAGAAATATTAGTTCCTCGTTTTTTTTCTAAATATTCATTTCAGAGTAATTGAAAGGCTTTATTATTTAAATTAAAATATTTTGATTCCTAACTATAGCTTTAATGTTTATTAAACAAAATACTAATATTTTCATTGATCGATCAAACGTTAAATATATGTTCCCCGCAGTAGGCTGTAGTTATTATAGGAAGATAACTGTATAAATAAATATAAATAAAAATCGAGAATTTTGATTTTGGAGATTTAGACACTCGGAGCAAAATTTGTGGTTATGTTATGATGATGCGTAGCCACTTAGGTCATCTAGGGTCAGTTTGTTTGAGCTTAAGTAAAAGTGAGTTTTTTCCTTGTATGTGTGTGTGTGTGTGTGTGTTTAGTACAAAATTCATCCGCATAGGTAATAGTAGTAATATTCCAAACCTTTATAATAAAACTAAACGAAAATATTCGTTTTCTTGGATTAAATCCAACTGATATACAAGGGGATATACCTATTGATAATAATTTACGATACTCTTTAAAAACTTTGACAACTGCCAAACATCTTATGAACGGATAAGTTTCAAAATCAGATAATAGAACGTAATATTTAAGTAAATATGATATTACATTAAATAATATTGATAGACAGAAATTTACTGGACCACTGAGATAAGTTAGCTCTATCGTTCGACAGCGATGAATGTATCTGTGACGTAATATATTTGAATTGACTTATGCATGTATCGATATAATGTGTTGTATATGTGTTCCATCCGAAAAATTGTTAAGTTGAGGACATAAAATATGTTACTGAGATTTAAGATTCTTTGTTTATTTTGATCGGTTTTAATCACTTTTAAAATTAATCGATTAATGAATGCCCCGATCAAATGTTTTATTGTAAATCTGATGTCACTTGTGGAACATTTGTGTATGATAACCCTGAAATCTGTGATATTAATATTTTATTACAATTAATAATTATTATACTCGAAGGTTAGGCATCATTATAGTATAAATAGGTACGCAATATATATACGCATACTTATTTTTGACTATTCAATCTACGACAAATATTGAATGATACGAATTTATCTTACAAATCATCTTACAATTACGAGTATAATAAGAACAATGTATGAGATACTTATTTCTAAAAGTTCAATACTTATTTATTGCATGGACTGTGGGCTTTTAAAATGTGTGGCTTCATTAACATCGACAAAAGACAGTATAGGTGTCCTTTTTTCAGCTAATTTTAATTTTATTAGAAATTAGTCTAGAGTTCATTTCATAAAAGTTCTTGCCATTTTTAAAAAAAAAATTTGTAAACATATTTTCAAAAGTATAAAACTCCATTTTTTTTTTTTTGTGTGAAAAATATATGACTTTATTGAATATTACAATCTATACAGGTGTACAATAGTCAATAAGTAATAATGATAACAGCAATAAGAATAAGAACTAAGATTTAATAATGACATGGTAGGAAATCTCAAATTAGAGACATCTTGTAGTGGCTTTGCATTTATATTATTATACATTTACAATTTTACACATTATGCAATTTTTAGGTCACTGCACCAGTTCCGTTTGAGTCGTCTGGTTGGATTTCTGGTTAGTGCTGATAAGGCAAGGACACTAATGAGCTGGTTAGGGTTGGATTGTAGTTTTGCGAGGAAGCGTTTGTAGTATATGGTAGCAGTTTCATTGATAGAGCTGATTTTTAGGTCGGAGTTTATTGCATTGTTGGAGACCATGGTGTTCTAGTAATTATACGACAGCTGATATTTTGGAAGTCTTAAATAGTTCTTTTATTTGAATTTTTCACGGGACCCCATATTACTATCCCGTACACTCAAAGTGGTTGTAGAAGAGTTTTATATAGTATGATCTTGAGGGTTAGTGCTAGGTTTTAGCGGTGAAGTGAACTTAGTAGGTGGAGTCATGAGTTTAGTTTTTTACGTTTGTCCTTAAGATGAGATGCCCAAGTTAGACGTCTGTCAAACATTAAGCCTAGATATTTTACTTCATTTATTGAGTGAGGGATAATGGTGTTGTTAATTGTTATAGATATGCAGTTATGGGGCAAAAATTAAACTCCATTAAAAAAAAAAATATATATATTTTTTTTCTGTGTAATGGATAATTACTATTGATTTTAAATTGGGTTTGATCCGATAAAATACGATTACAATATTATTGAAAATTTAGTTAAAATAATAATCTTCTGAAAAAATTCTTGGTTTTTAAGTCAATAGTAGTAGTAAACAAAACTGTATTTCTGATGCATCAATATTTTAGATAGTTAAATAACTATATTTCATCATCCTATATAAAGCCACTACTATAAATAGATATGCTCGTTAGATAAATAATATTTTCCAAAACAAAATAGTTGTAGGTACTATTTGTTGTACGTAATATTGATATGGACAGACTACTACCACGGTGACTACAGTCTTTATAAAACTTCAATTAAAAGTTGAAACCTCTAATTTTTGATTTTAGTGTTTATTCCATCGAAGTGAGGGAGAGGGATGCCTGGTTGCGCTATATTTTCCATAAAACCTGATTTAATAAATATTTATTTTCCAATCCATAAACCACATCATACCGATTGTTTTTTTCAACAGAAATCACTCATTATCTCGAAAAGTTTTACATTTTTTGAAAATAGTTATTGAATATTTTATGAAACAACATTATGAGGAAAAAAACAATTGGTATAACATTTATAAGTATTTATTATTATCATTTGTTTWTTTTAATTTTTACTTTTTTACAGTACATATAATTATACACATTAAGAATTACATACTTCATATAACA